TGATTAAAAATCTTCCAACAGGGCTTCCCTGGTGGCGCAGTGGTTGAGAATCTGCCTGCCAATGCAGACAACACAGGTTCGAGCCCTGGTCTGGGGAAATCCCACATGCCATGGAGCAACTGGGCCCGTGAGCCACAATTACTGAGCCTGCGCGTCTGGAGCCTGCGCTCCGCAACAACAGAGGCCGCGATAGTGAGAGGCCTGCGCACCGCGATGAAGAGTGACCCCCACTTGCCACAACTAGAGAAAGCCCATGCACAGAAATGAAGACCCAACACAGCCATAAATAAATAAATAAATACATAGTGTATAAAAAAAAAAAAAAAAAAATCTTCCAACAAATGAAAGTCCAGGACTAGACGGCTTCACAGGTGAATCCTATCAAACATTTAGAGAACAGCTAATACCCGTCTTTCTCAAACTCTTCCAAAAAACTGCAGAGGAAGGAACACTCCCAAACTCATTCTACGAGGCCACCATTACCCTGATACCAAAACCAGACAAAGATACTGCAAAAAAGAAAATTACAGACCAATATCACTGATGAATATAGATGCAAAAATCTGCAACAAAATACTAGCAAACAGAATCCAACAACACATTAAAAGGATCATACACCATGATCAAGTGGATTTATCCCAGGGATGCAAGGATTCTTCAATATACACAAATCAATCAATGTGATACGTCATATTAACAAATTGAAGAATAAAAACCATATGATCATCTCAATAGATGCAGAAAAGCTTTTGACAAAATTCAACACCCACTTATGATAAAAACTCTCCAGAAAGTGGGCAAAGAGGGAACCTACCTCAACATAAGAAAGGCCATATATGACAAACCCACAGCAAACATCATTCTCAATGGTGAAAAACTCAAAGCATTTCCACTAAGATCAGGAACAAGACAAGGATGTCCACTCTCACAACTATTATTCAATACAGTTTTGGAAGTCCTAGCCTCAGCAATCAGAGAAGAAAAAGAAATAAAAGGAATACAAATTGGAAAAGAAGAAGTAAAACTGTCACTGTTTGCAGATGACATGATACTACACATAGAGAATCCTAAAGAGGCCACCCAAAAACTACTAGGGCTAATCAGTGAATTTGGTAAAGTTGCAGGATACAAAATTAATGCACAGAAATCCCTTGCATTCCTATACACTAATGATGAAAAATCTGAAAGAGAAATTAAGAAACACTCCCATTTACCACTGCAACAAGAAGAATAAAATACCTAGGAATAAACCTACCTAGGGAGACAAAAGACCTGTATGCAGAAAACTGTAAGACACTGATGAAAGAAATCAAAGATGATACCAACAGATGGAGAGATATACCATGTTCTTAGATTGGAAGAATCAATATTGTGAAAATGACTATACTACCCAAAGCAATCTACAGATTCAATGCAATCCCTATCAAATTACCAGTGGCATTTTTTTCTGGAAGTAGAACAAAAAAATCTTAAAATTTGTATGGAGACACAAAGACCCCGAGTAGCCAAAGCAGTCTTGAGGGAAAAGAACGGAGCTGGAGGAATCAGACTCCCTGACTTCAGACTACACTACAAAGCTACAGTAATGAAGACAATATGGTACTGGCCCAAAAACAGAAACATAGATCAATGGAACAAGATAGAAAGCCCAGAGGTAAACCCACGCACCTATGGTCAACTAATCTATGACAAAGGAGGCAAGAATATACAATGGAGAAAAGACAGTCTCTTCAACAAGTGGTGCTGGGAAAACTGGACAGCTACATGTAAAAGAATGAAATTAGAACACTCCCTAACACCATATACAAAAATAAACTCAAAATGTATTAGAGACCTAAATGTACGACCAGACACTATAAAACTCTTAGAGGAAAACATAGGAAGAACACTCTTTGACATAAAGCACAGCAAGATCTTTTTTGACCCACCTCCTACAGTAATGGAAATAAAAACAAAAATAAACAAATGGGACCTAATGAAACTTAAAAGCTTTTGCACAGCAAAGGAAACCATAAACAAGATGAAAAGACAACCCTCAGAATGGGTGAAAATATTTGCAAACGAATCAACGGACAATTGATTTATCTCCAAAATATATAAACAGCTCATTTCGCTTGATATTAAAAAAAAAGGACCCAATCCAAAAATGGGCAGAAGACCTAAACAGACCTTTCTCCAAAGAAGACATACAGATGGCCAAGAAGCACATGAAAAGCTGCTCAACATCAGTAATTATTAGAGAAATGCAAATCAAAACTACAAAGAGGTATCACCTCACACCAGTTAGAATGGGCATCATCAGAAAATCTACAAACAAAAAATACTGGAGAGGGTGTGGAGAAAAGGGAACCCTCTTGCACTGTTGGTGGGCATGTAAACTGATACAGCCACTACGGAGAACAGTATGGAGGTTCCTTAAAAAACTGAAAATAGAATTACCATATGATCCAGCAATCCCACTACTAGGCATATACCCAGAGAAAACCACAATTCAAAAAGACTCATGCGGGCTTCCCTGGTGGTGCAGTGGTTGAGAGTCTGTCTGCCGATGCAGGGGACACGGGTTCGTGTCCCGGTCCAGGAAGATCCCACATGCCGTGGAGCGGCTAGGCCCGTGAGCCATGGCCGCTGAGCCTGTGCGTCCAGAGCCTGTGCTCCACAACGGGAGAGGCCACAACAGTGAGAGGCACGCGTACCCCGCCCCAAAAAAGTAATAAGACTCATGCATCCCAATGTTCATTGCAGCAGTATGTACAACAGCCAGGTCATGGAAGTAAACTAAATGCCAATCAACAGAAGAATTGATAAAGAAGGTGTGGTACATATATACAATGGAATATTACCCAGCCATAAAAAGGAATGAAATTGGGTCATTTGTTGAGACGTGAATGGATCTAGAGACTGTCATACAGAGTGAAATAAGTCAGAAAGAGAAGAACAAATATTGTATATTAATACATATATGTGGAACCTAGAAAAATGGTACAGATGAACTGGTTTGCAGGGCAGAAATTGAGACACAGTTGTAGAGAACAAATGTATGGACACCAAAGGGGCAAAGTGGCCGAGGGGTGGTGGTGGTGGTGTGATGAATCGGGCGACTGGGATTAACATGTATACAGTGATGTGTATAAAATGGATGACTAATAAGAACCTGCTGTGTAAAAACAAATAATGTGATCAAATGCATTCTACTGGAAAGAAGCAAAAATAGACTATGTTTACTATCTAAAAAAAAAAAAAATTTTAAGTCCGTGACTTTCTGTTACCCTTTAGCATTGTAGGATGGTAGGCCTGAGTAATTTAGGGTCACAGACTATTTGACCAGCAGCATCAATTCAATCCAATGTTTTTGATATATTTTAGTTTTGTTAAAGCCTTTTGCCACCACTGCCTTAACTGAAGTCACATGTTACATTTACCACTGCCCCCGCCTGACACAGAAGAGTGATATATTTTCCATACATATGCTGGCTCTTCTTTATAATGTTGTTTTCAGGTGGGACCATCTCACAAGGATATTTTTTTCCTGACACTTCCAGTAATTACGCTGAACTCTACTGGATATAATACCAAATTTCATTTATAGCAATAAACCATGTTTTTAAAAGTAATAAGTATCATAATGAAGCTTCTATTAAAAATAGTTTGAGAGAAAAATTAGGCATCTAATTATCTACAAAGAGCTTCCATGGTGTCTGTAGGGCCAGTTTTCAATAAACAAAGTTAAAAAAAAAAAGATGCTTCTAATTTATTTGTCAAGGCTGCAAGAATAATTGAGTAGAAAATTGCACCATATTAATATGCAAACACAATGGAGCCATCCATTGGAACTGAAAGCAGGATGTCTCATGAAATGACTGTTAGCACCAAGGATCATTTTATGCAAATTCCTTAAGTTCAATTTGTTACCAACCTACTCTAAAAATTATTCTGGAACCAACTACAACTACTAGGATATAGGTAAATCCAGATTACAACTGACCCTTGAACACATGGGTTTGAACTGGGAGGGTCCACTTACATGCCGATTTTTTTCAGTAGCAAATACTACAGTACTACATGATCCGCAATTGGCTGAATACACTGACACGGAAGGGATGACAAGGAGAAACTACGAATACGGAGAGCTGACTATCAATTATACATGGATTTTTGACTGCAGGGAGGGTAGGTACCCCAACCCCCAAGTTGTTCAAGGGTCAACTGTACTTCATTTTACAATGTTTCAATTGGAGCAGTCAGGGAAGCCAAACAACAACAAAAAAACACAGTTGGCTATCCCTATAATGACAGTAGAGATACCACATTTGGGCACATTCTCTAAAATTAGTCCATCAATGACAGTTAAAGATGTACTAAAGCCTTACTTCTTGGATTTCAGTTAGGATACATATCTACTAGTTAAATATGTATGTTTAATTTTAAAACATTAATGTAGAGAATTAAAATTATGATTCAGGCATGCAGTTATTATTTTAAATACATGCAAACAGCTGTTTCAAAAAGAGTAATTTTGGAGCTAAACTTCCACAGTCTAGGGTTCGAACCTTTAGAAAAGTAAATCAACATTTTTCTTTTACAGTTTTAAGCACTTCACTTCCTCCAATCATTTTCTAATGGTTCAAGTCAATTTGACACTAGGTAACAGCACATGAATGATATCTGGGGTGAGTGGTCTCATGACAGGAAATTTGATCAATCTGAAATAATTACACTTAAAAATATACATAATTTAGCCCATAAAGTGGCACATGCATTTTTAAAAAGTCTTATAAAAGCTGCCTGCATTTTTTAAGTGTAGCAGTGGTAGGAGGGCCAATTTTTAAGAGGTAACATTTTTTTCTGGTTTAAATTCATAAGAAAGTTTCAAAAATTCACTATAAAATTTTCCAGTAAATTAATATTCCATCAATTCAATATTTATAGTTAGTCAAGTACTGTATAATTAGTAATTTTAAACAAAATCATGAAAGTTTACAGAAGGGATTATCACTTACCAGCTGCTCTGATTTTACACCATACAACTGGATGGTCTTTGCCACGTTTTTTGACACAGCTAATGTGAGGTCTGCATCAACAGCAGCTACATTTAGTTCACTGGAGAAAACAAAAACAGACTTTAATTATTAGCAACACAGTTCATCAACAAAGTAAAGAGCAACATATAAACCTAATCCCAATAAACAATGTGACTTTTTTTAATAGATTTCACTGGTTGCCTCCAAGACTGACTGATTGCACTGTTTCATTTTCCCTCCTAAATTCAGCATTAGGAAAAAGTGCTCTAAGACTGTCTGGTTAATGACCAGTTTCTCATTAATAAAAGCATGTCATGTGTGAGTTCAGGCTGTGATTAAGAGAGTAAATTGTGTGCAGATTTTTCAAGTAGCACTCTTGTTAATACTGATAAGTGCAATTAGAGACACTGCATGTCACAGACATCTACAAGGAAATGACAGCTCTTGAATGGAAATGGTGACCTTGGAAGGACAAAGGCTAAAAATATAAATTACATGATACATAAAGATACTCAGTTTCTGTAGAAATTATGCCAATTCATGCTATTTTGATAGAATAGCTTTTTAAATATATCAAAAGCATACAAGGATTTAACTTGAAATTTTAAAAATTTGGATTCTTAAAGTATTTCTTTGTCATGCTTATTTTCAATTTAACATTGGATTAATTGGGACATATGAGGTAATTGCAAAAAAAAAGTATTTACAAAGACCATGGAAAGTTAACTTTTTTAAAGTTAATTTTTAATTAAGAGTTAAAAATTGCATGAAAATGCATATACAAGTAGAAAAGCAAGAAAAGTAATTATTGTCTCTCAAGTATCCGAATAAATCTTGGCACTTACCAGGTTGCCTTTATGAAGAAAGCGAAGGACTTTAAAACAACATTAGTGCTTACTATGTGTGACAAAAATGCCCTTTCATATACCAGTGAGACATAACTTTATTAAAGTTAACTTTCACATTCTGTTAAACAATGGCATTAAACAACGGCATAAGTCCCACCTTACAGTTGATCACAGCATTGTCAAACTGCACCGGGGAATGGGAGAGATACCTCTTTAACATGTCCATAAACAGGTAAAGAGATAAAGTTCAATCCATGACCAGTTTTGTCACTACCATATGAAACAAATAACGGAGACATTAGGGTATAACCGTCTTCAGTCAGGACTCTGGAAAGTCAAGATAACTGTGAAAGATTTAGGATCAAGATGCTGGGCAATTTCGATGCTGTATTTAGATAGATACGCATATTATACCTGTAGCTTTTTAGTCGTACTCTCACATGCCTCAGAATCACCATCTTCAAATTTGTCATCTAAAAGAATCTAAACTTTTATACCTTGGTTCCATATTGCCTAACTACTAATTTTATTCCTCAAAATGTTCACCTATAAATGTATAGACCTACTGTTATGACAACTTGTTATTATGACAGGAACTGAGATAGTCTCAACTGCAGATTAACCTGGGGGGTCCATAAAATGTCTAAAAGCAACAGTATAATACATTGTCCGCAACCATTCAGGTTGCACAACCATATCCTCTGCTAGGATATCTTCCCATTTGAGAGTTTTAAAAGCTGTCACATTCACTTAGAAAGCTTAAAATAGCAAACACAAGTAGACTAATCAGGATTATAATCCTTGTGCGCCATGAAGTAAAACAGACTTTAATTATTAGCAACACAGTTCATCAACAAAGTAAAGAGCAACATATAAACCTAATCCCAATAAACAATGTGGTGATTTTTTTTTATAGATTTCACTGGTTGCCTCCAAGACTGACTGATTGCACTGTTTCATTTTCCATCCTAAATTCAGCATTAGGAAAAAGTGCTCTAAGACTGTCTGGTTAATGACCAGTTTCATTAACTGGTTTTTTTCTCTGGATTTAAGAGAAAAAAAAGTTGATCTCCATGCTTTAGCTTCTCAATTTGTAAAATTATTTATATATATATATATATATATATATATTTATATTAACTTTCCTACGTAATATTAGAAATTTACTATGGCATAAAGAAATAGGTTGTTTTACTTTGTATCCTTCACAAGATACAGAATAATGATAATTGACTATTTTTAGACTGTATTTAAATGGTTTTATTAATTGGAATCTCAAGTATTGATACTTACTACATGTGCACTCACTCAATGCAAAACTCTTTTTTTTTTTTGCGGTACGCGGGCCTCTCACTGTTGTGGCCTCTCCTGTTGCAGAGCACAGGCTCTGGCCGCGCAGGCTCAGCGGCCATGGCTCACGAGCCCAGCCGCTCCGCAGCATGTGGGATCCTCCCAGACCGCGGCACGAACCCGCGTCCCCCGCATCGGCAGGAGGACCCCCAACCACTGCGCCACCAGGGAAGCCCAATGCAAAACTCTTGATTTAATTTCCAGACTAATTCTTTGAATGATTTGAGACAAATCAAAGATGTACTGCCGTTATACATCACTAACAAATGTGGCAGGCATTTTACAGCATGCCACTATATGAAAATACATACCTTGCTATAGTTTTAATGATACCTTCAAGTTCATCGGCAGAAGGAGGATTACGACCGCCAGGGGGAAAAACCAAGTTGATCGGATCAAAGAGTCGAGATAAGGATTTTGATAGATAAGCAGCCTCATAGGGTTGTAGTGAGTCTTTCAAAGCCTTTCCTGGACTGTGGGAACAAAGTTTATTAAAAATGAACTTAAATTATACAAAACTAAGTGCTAGTGTATCAGGTTGTAAATGCCTTTCTTAAAAACATATCTGCTATATAAAATGTAACTCTATATGAAGAAAAGAAAAAATTTTGTTTAAAAATGTATAAATATATTTACATAATTAAATGCTTATTAAGAACTAAACATTTTAATTTATGCATAATTCCTGGGCATAAATGTTATATAATATGCACCAGTACCTACTGTAGTAAGTTTGTCGCTTGAAACTAAAAGAGTAACACTGTAAAATCTTATTAATTCTAATGGGGCCATGCCTTCACTTAGCATGTTTCTATAGAGCATACAAGAGAGGCAAGTCTGCAGAGACCTGCTCCCACCAGCTCAACCCTTTTCACACACAACAGCTGCCCTCTCATAAGCTCAGTGCCTAAGAGGGAAGTATATAGGTGTATGTTTTTATCAGCCTTCTGATGCCAAAACTGATACTAACAAGAATGAGGACAAAATAAAAAGTGCTTGTGCAAGTCCCACAATCATCCAAATACTCCTAATTGTAGTTCTAAGTTAATATGTTTTACAACATTCTTCACAGACTAAAATTTAGCCTACTAAACACTTCTTTCCTCCTCAGTCCTCCTATGTCTTCAGTTATTTCTGCTGATTTTCATTTACTTGTCCAACTATTGGATCTTATATTTTTACCTCTGACAATTACTACCAAATACCTATAACCATATAATTAACTCTGTATCTTCTCACATCACCCCTGTTTATGATCCTTCTACTGGCCTTTCCATTATCTTAAACAAACAAACAAAAACAAATCCCCCTTCATCCTAAATGTTCATCTTGAAAACATCTGACCTACTCCTTCAGGTATAGGAAACTTAGCTTTCTCCTTTTCCACCTTTGCTGGTCAACTGACAAGACCTAGAGGTCAGAACACTCTTGGCTCCTACATCACAATTCCATACTTATCTTAACACTTTCTCATTCAATAAGTATTTCACTCAACACATAGTTCCTGAGAATACTATGTGCCAGCCCTCACTGAGTGCTGGGAGGATAGAGATGAAAATTTGCTTTACCGTCCAGTGAGGAAATGTGCAGGTAAAGTGTGAACTATAATAACTTCCATAAAAGATGATGAGAGAAAGACCACAATGGGAACAGGGAAGAACTAGTGTCTAAATGTGTCTGAGGCAATCCCCTACTGAAGTCCACGCCAGCTATTTAAATGTCTTCCCTATTTTTGCTCCGGTCATTTACTGACCTTAAGAAGCCTCTTCTCTCTTCTGCAGGAATTTCAGCACTAAATTATAAGTACTAACATTCTCCTTGTTCTCCAAGGATCCTTCCAGAAGGTCCTGCAGCTCTACTCCAACACCAGAGCTGCCAAGGCCCAGCTGGCTATCTGCCAGCAGCCAATCCTCAAGCAGCTCGCACGGGAGAAGCAGCTCTATGCCAACATGTTTGAGAGGCTGGCTGAAGAGGAGAGCACGACCAAGGCTGCGGTCGTTGCAGGAGAGCAGCCTGCTGACACAGAGATGGAGGACGAGCAGGAGGACGACCTGGCAGGGGGCCGGCCACAGGTGGGGGCAGGCCACAGGTGGGGGCAGAGCACAGCCTCCCCCAGCCCTGCTCCAGCGTCTGCCTGCCTCCCCTGCTCCCTACCTTACTCCACCCTGTTAGTTTTGGAAAACCTGAAGAATCTGGGGGGGGGGGGGGGGGGGGAGGACCCTTTGGTGATTACAATGTCAAAACAAACAACTTTTCTAAAACCTGTCCTGTAATAGAAGTCTACTTTCATTTTAGCTTTACTATGGAGCTTCCATGTTTGAGTCATCGTTTTGAACTGCTCTACCTCTGATGTCTCCAAGCTCAAAGACAACTTTCCACGCCCCCACTTGCCGCCAGCTCCTTCCCACCTACAAATTCTCTTAAATGTCTACAATTTGCCAGGTACTTCCTAGATGTGGGAAATGTAGCTATGAAGTCAGTTAAAAAAATTCCCTGTCCCCTTAAAGAGACTTCTGAGAACACAATATTGTAAATCAACTCTACTGCAATAAAAACTAATAAAAAAAAAGACTTCTGAGAAACACACCAAAAAAAGAAATAAAATTTTTAAATGAGTTAACTACGGACGGAATACAATGGAGAGTAAAAAATTCTAAGACAAAAAAGAAGTAAGGAAGCCACAGACCGTTTTTGTTTTTAATCCAATTTTACATAGGGTGAGGCAAGGGGAAGCTTCCTGAGAAGATGTGAGGGAAAAGAGGGAGCAAGTTATATAGATTTCCAGGGTAGGTGCTTTCTATAGGAAGAGAACAAGCACAAAGGCCCTGAGAAGGGACTTAGACCTGGCTGCGTTTGACAAAAAGTTAGAGAAGCAGAGCACTTAAGTGACAGGAGAACAGTACAAGATGAGGTCTAAGAGAAAACAGATGGAACAAATCATGCTGGGCTTTGTATATCAATAAAAGTGCTAGATTTTACTCAAAAGAACTTGCTCTTTGACTTTACAGTGATCAGCGCTACAGAACCCTATGCTCATCCTCCACCGTTTCAAGGTGCTCTCATTAGCATCTTGATTTTTCTAATTTACCTTCCTTTCAAAGCTCTTACGAAGAAAATCTCAGTTAGATGGTCTCTGTATCTGCTGCTAAGCATTCCACGTATTGCAGAGAAAAAGTAAATTGTTTCTATTAAATGTTTATGCAAACCTCTTAATTTCAAGAGACCTGAAGCTCCAGGTATTAAAATTCTACTTCTGCAGCCCTTCACTCTCCACAGCTGACCATCTGCCTCAACTTTACACTAAGACCAAAACCAGTGGCAATGATCTTACTAGCTTATTTTTTCCTTTGTAACTTCACCTACCCTCAGCGATTTTCCTCTTATCCCAAAGAAAAAGTAGCTTTATTCCTTTATTCATATCAAAACCTCTCAGAAGAATTACCTACCTCCTTCTTTCCCATTCTCTCTTTTTTAAAAAATGCTTTATCAAGATTTAATTTACATTCAATTCAACCATTTAAAGTGTATAATTCAATGGCTTTCAGTATATTCACAGGTATGTGCAACCATCACCATGCTCAATCCCAGAACATTTTTATCACCTTCAAAAGAAACCTCATAGCCTTTAGCTTTAATCTTTTACCCCCACTCACCCCACCCCCAGCCCTAAGCAACCACTAATATGCTTAATATCTCTATAGATTTCCCTATTCTTAACTTTCATAGGAATAGGATCATACAGCATATGGGTTTTATATCTGGCTTTTTTCACTTAGCATAATTTTTTCAAGGTTCAGTCATGTTGTAACATGTGTCAGTTCTTCATTCCTTCATTCATGTGTGGATATATCACATGTGGTTACCCATCTGTCTGCTGATGGACATTTTGGGTGTTTCTATCTTTTGGTGATTATGAATGCTGCTATAAACATTCATTACAAATTTGTGTGTGAACATTTTTAAATTTTTAAAAATTTGCTTAATATGCTTTGTTTTTATTGTGATAACATATACATAACAGATGGGTGTTGTTCACAATAAGGAAGCACCCACCTATTGATCTCATCTGTCTGAGGCTAACTGGCAGCTGAGGGCAGGATGAGAAATGCTGCGGTTCTGCTCTTCTTAGGAAGAAAGCCCTCCAGTTAGGAGTGGCGGGGGAGGGAGCCCTTTGTTCTTGGCTGTCACAGTCCTGAGTGGAGCCTATGCCTTGCTGAGCTGGGAAGAGGGAGGGAGGAACAACAGTCTTGGTCCTAATATCACAGGCTCTTATGGAATTCTTTCTACCGAATTTTCATAGACTTTCTTGAGTCGATGATTTTTCATTTGCTGTTTGCTTTTAAAACCATTTCCAGACATTTTAAATTGTTTGGTTTTTAATAGTTTTCACCAGATTCACTGTGGGATGGGTCAGCAGAGTGGGGACGGCTGTCATCCCAGAAGTCAATCTCCTCCCATTCTGTCTTTCATCAATTCTAATAATGCTTTTGTATCCACCATTCCACATCCAGGCCCTGAACAACCTTATTTTGCTATATCTAGAGGTCACTTCTCAGTCCTAAGCTTCTTCAGCTTTTCAACAGCATGTGACACAGTTAACCATTCCTCCTCTGACTGAAATGAACTCATTCTTTGGGGTTCCACATAACTTTCAGTTTTCCTCCTTTCTCACCACTTTTTTTCCTCTTAGTCTTGCAGGCTGCCACTCCTCTGCACAATCTGTAAATTTTGGAGTGCATATCTTGGGCCAAAGTTCCCTTTTCTCTTTATATATATCTTCCCTATGGAATCTCCTCCAGTCCCATGATTTTTAAAGATCTGCATAGTGATGAGTCTCAAATATCTATTTCTAGCCCTGATTCACATTCAACTACCTTTTCAACAACTCTGTAACAACTCAATTTGCATCTTTGATTCAACAGTTTCAAAAGAAAAACCTTAACACTACTTGATGGGGAATTCCCTGGCAGTACAGTGGTCAGGACTCCATGGTCTCAACGTGGAGGGCCTGGGTTTGATCCCTGGTCAGGGAACTAAAATCCCACAAGCCGTGTGGCATGGCCAAAAACAAAAAACAAAAAAAACCCCACAAACAAAAACCCACTACTCGATGAAACAGTGTCTTCGAATCATTAGGCTTCTCCCAACTTGTCCACACGTATCCTTGATTCTTCTTTTCCTCTCAAATGCGATCTACCAGCAAGTTCTACTGGCTTGCCCTCTAAGCTATATCTCGAATCAATCTGACCAGTTCTCACCATCTCACCCACTCACCCTACTTCAAGCCATTATCATTTCTTGTCTGGATAAACAAAACAGCTTCTCT